ATTATGGGCACTAATCATAAAAATCTGATTTTAGATAGAAGGCTTAACAAACTCAGAAGTATCGGTCTTATGCGTATCTGAGAATCAAAAGTCCCATTAACCGTGACGCCCAAGAACAGACTTTAGGCCCTCTCCCAATTATACAAAAATAGCGTTGGGATTTAGTACCCGTGCACATATGCATACGCAAAGGTCTAGACACGCATTAATGTACACAAGTGTAAAAAAAGCATGATAAATTTTGAATCAGCAAACTTAATACAACCAGGATGTAATCTTTGGAGATGTGTTGGGGATTTTTCTTGACTCATTTTAAGCTTAAAGGAGTAATTCTAACTTAGTTGAGATCGGCTGTATGGAGGCCCAAGTTAGTTTTCACTTCAACGAAAGGAGGATGTTTCTAGAAGTGTATCAATGGTAACGGAGAGATAAGTCTATGAATTTATTCATTACTTTTCATACGAAATAAGGGTCAGTCCAACATTCTTTCACAGAGGTTTGTGTCATCGAGACCTAGTCACTATTCTTATAAATAAGGTCTAGGAGATAGCTCACAGTGACTCCATATAAAATGCAATATAACAATTGAAAATGATTGTTTATGTCTCTATTTTATCCTTAAGAAAGGGTCAATTAGCTGTTTTCTGGGTCTTATTATTTAGGAGTAAGGCTTTAGAGATGGGCACCCTTTTAACAAAAAATTCTAAGAGATGCTAATTCAGCCGTTATTGACTTGCTAATCTGCCATCCTCGTACCATTCTATCTAATATTAATGAACCAAACGCTTAGTTATTGAAGACTAGCTTCTCTTTATACACGCATATGTACACATCTGAAATCACATTCCCCTTTAAATACGGTTCTCTGAAATAGCTTGCTGGTTCTCCCCTTTATTATGTAGACATGATATTTATTCGGATCGGCCTGGAGTAGACTTACTTGCAGACCTTTGCTGTTCTAACTACTATCATTTTTAGACTTGCTAAACGAAGAATTTTGTGTGCTGTTGGACTAGGAATTCTGAGTTGGTCTAGGAATTTTATCAGCAAGACAGAAAGCTTTTCCATACTTTGATAGACTGTGCATACTTTTGTATAGTCCCTGCCTTGTGAGCTCCTTATGCATTTGATGGAGAGTGAACTCAGAAGTGGATGCATTTTTTCTAGTGTTGCAGGCATAGAGATGCCCTTGGAATTAATTCTTGTTGTTGTTTCCCTAAAGCATACGGTCTTCCTACGCATCATGGAGATAGTGACTGCTTAAAAAACAGCCTGTACTCTATCCATCCTCTTTCTGGGAGTCATATGACTCCATCTTCAAACGTGTGTAAGTTAACAGACATATACAACAATTTGGCTTTCAGGAAAACCCGTATGATCACGAGCTCACTTTCCGGTTGGCCCGGCGCACTCCATATGGAGGACTGGAACCGCTTGGACCCCTGAACATTGATGGCAAACCGATGCTGGAGCGCCTTAAAATTTACCGCCTGGGCGACATGGAGAGGCCAGAGGAGTCCGTTGTGATACGCCAGCCACCACTTGATCGGGGAGTTTTTAATCTTATGGTACAAATCCAGCCAGACTCAGGCAAGGAAGCGAGTGATGAAAACGAGCCAAGCATACCAATCTACGTAAGTAAGGATACATGACATGTCTTATGACCAAGTTTCTCACGTCTGTGTAAATTTGATTCTGTGGGGTACTCTTATATGTATACATCAAAAAAAGACTATGAGCGTTCATTCGCCAAAAAGTGTTAAAATTTCCTGTATTTTCTTGCAGTGAACATTCTCGTTTAGTCCAAAAGTAACTTCTTCAAAAGCAACCTTCCTGAATGAAAATATAATATTGAGACGAGCATGAATTAAGACATACGAGAACAAGAGTAGTATAAAAAGTAGCTAAAAGTGCTTCTATGCTCTCCAGAGATCATGCTATGAGTCAAAACCCCTATATACAAAGGGGAACCAGATGCAAATGAGTAGCCTCAGCGCCAAAAAAACAGTTTTTTGCATGCTGGGTCATCATGATATACGATTGCGTATCTGGTTGGTTGGGGTGACATCGTCTACTATTTTCTACAATTGTCGAAAAGACCACAAGTTCTATAAATCAAATATTTATGCAAGTTT